TGCCCGTCCCCCACCTGCCGACAATCCTCCACCACCAGCAGCAGTACGGCCAGCAGCACGTCATGCACATGCACCACGCCGCCGGCGGGGGAGTGGGCGGCCCTTACATGCAGCACGCCCACCACTTCGGCCAGCACCACTACCACCACCTGCACCACCACCACCTGCAGCACCACCCACCCCACGGCTACCCAGAGCCCCCCTCTTCCCCGTTGCCCTCCCCCGTACCGCCCCTCTCCCCGCTGCCGCCCCCGCTCACGCCCTCGCCGCTGTCCTCTTCCTCCTCCTTCGCGCTCCAGAACCTGGAAGCGCAGCAGCAGCACCACCTGGCCCACCACCCACACCTCCTGCTCCACCACCACCTGCTCTGCTCGGACGGGGACAACGAGAGCGTCAACTCCACCACCACCAACTCCAACGACGACACCACGGTCAACAACTGCAGCTCGGGCTCCTCGTCCCGGGACAGCCTGCGGGAGCCGCTGGGGGGCGGGGCCCCGGGCAAGCAGACCTATCAGAGGGAGAGCCGCCACAGCTGGGACTCCCCCGCCTTCAACAACGACGTGGTGCAGCGGCGGCAGTACCGCATCGGACTCAACCTCTTCAACAAGTGCGTGTGTGTGTGTGTGGAGCTCATTTCACCTCAACGACAGCAGCTTTAAACAAAAACACGTCTCATTAAATAACACGGAGCGATCCACGATGTGGTAGAAACCTGTCAATCACAGTAAGCCCCGCCCAGAAGCATCGCCTGCTTTATGGTCTGTTTGACTCTGAATGGACCATCATTCACTAAATGAACATCATGCATTTTCTCATAGACGTCTATGGGAGCAGAGGAGTCGCCCCCTGCTGGTCACTGCACTTCAGTGTCAGTTGAAGTGTGTAAAAACTGAAGGAAAACTGTATGTTTGTGTGTCCGGGCAGGAAGCCGGAGAAGGGGATCCAGTACCTGATCGAGAGGGGCTTTGTGTCCGACACGCCGGTGGGCATCGCCCGCTTCATCCTGGAGAGGAAGGGTCTCAGCAGGCAGATGATCGGGGAGTTCCTGGGCAGCCGGCAGCAGTTCAACAAGGACGTGCTGGAGTGAGTCGAAGCGCCGCTTCCCGTTTCCTCCTGAACGCTTGTAGTTGAAGTGTTTGAAATAATACGTCAAAGTGGTTTTGAAGATGGAGGAATTGTTTTAAAAAGTAGATTCAGTTGAAGTGCTTGTGTACGTCTCCCTGCAGCTGCGTCCTGGATGAGATGGACTTCTCGGGAATGGACCTGGACGATGCCCTGAGGAAGTTCCAGGCTCAGATCAAAGTCCAGGGCGAGGCTCAGCGGGTGGAGCGGCTGGTGGAGGCCTTCAGGTAGGGAACCGGCCCGTGGGTTTGATCCCCACGGAGGAGCCAGTCCTAATCTCTCTCCCCCTCCCCCAGTCAGCGGTACTGCGTCTGTAACCCAGTGCTGATCCGCCAGTTCCAGAACCCGGACACCATCTTCATCCTGGCCTTCGCCATCATCCTCCTGAACACGGACATGTACAGCCCCAACGTGAAGCCGGAGAGGAAGATGAAGCTGGAGGACTTTGTGAAGAACCTGCGGGGTCAGTCGCTGGTTCTTCTCCTGTCACCTGATCAGTAGACACAGATCTCCTCTCTGAGTGAAGACGGGCAGGAAGTAGTAAAGCTCGTGTCTTTAGTTCTGAACCAGAAAAGTGACAATTTGAGATCGGAACGAATGTTTTTACTCAACTTCTTTATTTCAATACTTTATTTTATCTTCCTTCACTCCACTAAGTCTCAGAGAAGAATGTTTTTATCTGCACTGCGTTCATTTTACTTTATTTACTTACTTACTTTACAGATTATAAAAATGTATGTAAATTGACAAAGAATTGTCCTTATAGATTAAGATTGTATTCATCACATATTGGAAATTAAAAAGTAACGTAGCATTAACGTAACTTATCTTGTCTGAGTTTAACTAACCCTGATCTGGTCTCAGGGGTGGATAACGGTCAGGACATCCCCCGGGACCTCCTGGTCTCCATCTATGGGAGGATCCAGAAATGGGAGCTGAGGACCAACGACGACCACGTGTCTCAGGTCCAGGCGGTGGAGAGGATGGTGGTCGGCAAGAAGCCGGTGAGACCCGGAGCATCTGAGCGCAGTGATGTCATCAGCCTCAGTGATGTCATCAGCCTCAGTGATGTCATCAGCCTCAGTGATGTCATCAGCCTCAGTGATGTCATCGGCCTCAGTGATGTCATCGGCCTCAGTGATGTCATCAGCCTCAGTGATGTCATTGAGCAGCTATTACCTCTTTGATACACGATAGAAACCCCTGATGTTTAAAAATAAGGTGTTCATGTGAAAAAAGAAAATATCTAAACAAATTATTTTCCTTTTTAAATGACAAATATCGGCATCAATGATGAATCAATATCACAATATTGTTGAGGGGATATTTGATTTGATTGGTGTATTAAAACCAATAACCTAAATTAAACGCTGGGGGACATTCTACGCATCGTTAGATTGGTTATTCATAATTAATATTAATAAACAAGAAACATCATTCAGATCAACAAGAGAGATGTCCAATGTGAAATAATCTAATCCCCCAAAAACCCTGTGAGCCTGAAGAAATGACTTCACGATCCTGGCTGAGTGTGTGTGTGTGTGTGTGTGTGTGTGTGTGTGTGTGTGTGTGTGTGTGTGTGTGTGTGTGTGTGTGTGTGTGTGTGTTACAGGTGGTGTCTCTGGCTCATCGTCGGTTGGTGTGTTGCTGTCAGCTCTTCGAGGTTTCTGATCCCCACAGAGCTCAGAGGAGCGGCGTCCACCAGAGAGAAGTGTTCCTGTTCAACGACCTGCTGATGGTACAACACCCCCGCGTGTGCGTGTGTGTGTGTGTGTGTGTGTGTGTGTGCGTGTGTGTGTGTGTGTGGATAAGAGGGGGGATCTTCACCCTCGGTCTGG